CATGCTATAACAAAAATATAGCTCTAGCATTACTCTGCCACGTAAAATGTGTGTTTGAAAAACCTAGTTTTTCATCAGAAGTTAAGTTGTCCTATCAATATTTAAATCTATTGTCTTTTTTTTATTAAACAACATGTTTGTAAATACTTCACGAGCTACATACTTAGCAAGTCGAATACTTCAGGGACTGGTAGCAAATAACACAAATCATAGTCACCCCACAGCGGTGGCTTAATCCAATGATTTGCGTGATATTAGGGCCAGCAGAGAGCCACTTGTAAATCAACGTGGATTTTATAATGCGGCTTTATAGCGCACTTATTGTTTTTACTGCCTGGGGTTGACTACGAATATAAATTGCTGGATTTTACCTTGCCTTTAGTCACAATAGAGAAGCAGGGGTAATGGAAAACTTAAGAATATAACACGAGATTACTTACAAGGAACTAAACCTAAAAGAAACTACAATCTATACACGCGGCCAACTACTACTACAGCCGGTGGCGATTTGTCGAGTATTTTTTTAATTTAAGTCAAACGTCTATGTTGTATGTGTAAAATTGTGTCAATTAAATTTTTTATTTAATTTATATATTATAAATAATGCAAATAAAAATACAAAATTATTTTAAAAAATATATACAAGAAGAACAATTACTGTGTAACATGTTATGTTATTTTATAATTAATTGTTCCGATTCTTGTAGAGGTGCTACGCAAACTGCTACGAGTTAAAATTTTCTTTTTTAGAATAAGGGTGACAAACGAGCACACAGTCCAGCTGATGGTAAGTGGATGCTGTGGCCCATAGACATCTACATTTATCCTCAATTAAGAGTCAAAATGCAGATGCGCTGCCACCCCTGAGGACTGACGTGGAATGCCTCGTTTCCAGTAAAAACGGTCTCCGGTTCTCTACACTCACCATACGAAACACAGCAGCATTGAGCTGCTATTTTACGCTGATAATTTGTGAGAGCGTGGTCCTACCTCGGTTGAGCCAACCCATTCGTGCTGCAACCACATTATAGCTACAGCATGGCTCTACCACGTTAAGTATTAAGATAGAGCCGTGGAATGTCAAGGGATGAGCGATTGCTTTTGATTTTGTAATATACAAGGAACAGACTGTCTCGTTAGTCTAGTAGTAAACGCGCCTGCTGATCATGTGCACCCGGGTACGAATCCAGAGTCAGGCGAAAAACAATTTGTTATTATTCTGTAAAGAAATTCTCAGTCACAGCCCATGGTGATAGTCGCATTAAAAGTGCATCAAGTGATATAAATTGACGATCATAATTACAGTATATAAAGATTTTCAACGAACACTTTAAGGGTTTTTTTATTTTAAATAAATAATAATTCGCGTTTTAATTTTACTGTAAATTTTGCGTTTGTCAATTTTACAAAAACATAATATCTAGATGTGTGATTCGCAGTCCTCGAATTATGCGGCTCTCACAATACAATAAGTCTGTCCTGAACAGGCATCATTTTTCTCTCGCAGAGCCCGGAGATTCGTCTCGAAATCACAAGATCGATGCCCCATCGCCCGCAGCCCGACAAGCGATTACGCGACGCTCGGCCGAGCGCGTAATCGGGACCGAACGAAAACGCGCCGTCTGTACGCGCCCTAATCTCGCACATGGACGGGTTTTAAAGCGCGCTCGGATGATACGCAGCTTTTGTTTCGTCTAATGGATGTTTGAAAGGTCATGACTTCTGTTCTGTTTGAAAATTTAAAGATTTTGAATACGACAAAAATATACTAATAACAAAAACAGCATTCGAGAGATTATACCATTTTTTTTTAATTCACATATGCTCATTTAGCAGCTCTCATGAATAGTCAAGAGAAAGAAAAAAATGCATTGTAACAAATTAAAAAATTTTAATACATACCTAACAATTTTAATCAATGTCAAATTCCATGAGCGCTAATAAGTTGTTACGCTGGGCAGGCGGGTTGACAACCAAGGTTTTTTTTTATAATGTTAATTTAGTTACCAAGAAGATCCTGGTATTGTGCTTAAGTTTCAATTTCTTATCTGTTGCCTCTCACGATACCGACGGGGCGATATGGACTAAACATCGTCACAATGTTAATTCACAGCTTGGTAATCAAGTAGTATCATAACCTTTAAAAGCGCGTGATAAACTTGTTCATAATCATTATCATTGTAGCCCTTCACAAGTCCACTGTTAAATAAAAAACCCTCAAGGCAATCCACGAAGTACGGATCTGAGCTACCTGGATCCATCCTTTATTTTATGTACGTCTTACCAAGTTGTTACTCCATCTAAAACGGTACAAAATAATTCGCTGCATTGAACCTCCTAAATAATAATAATAATAATGTCGTCCAGATCGAATTTTGGTCACTGCGGCCAGCCTTGACAAAGACTAGACATCTACGCAGGTAAGGATTATAGTGCCCGAGTGAGGTGCACTCTCTTTTCCCTCACTCTCATAGTGCAATGGTACGGTAATCCGACACGACCGGATAGAGATCAGACGCAGGGCCAACGGCTTTACGTGTTTTCCAAGGCACGGGGGTGAAACACTACCAACTTCCTGACTCCCCGCAGCTATTGTGTATTTCTTAACAGAAAAATCCGCCCGTCCATCTTCAAAGAAAAAAAAAAAAGAGAAACTCGGCGGCTGCTATCTGTCTATCCGTCCAAATACAATCTGGGCCTCTTCAAGGCTAGAGTGAAGATGCTTTTGTTACGCTAAGACATTGCACTTTACCATCTAGGGCATCGTCACTTACCACTAGGTGGAATTTTGGTCAACCACTGACTTAAAATAAGTAAAAAACAAAAACACAATAACAATTTTTTGGTCCGACTCGGGAATCGAACATGGGACCTCATGATCAGCAGTCGCATTTACGACCACTAGACTAAAGAGGCAGTCAGAACTTCCTAAGCGAATAATAATGTAGATTTACGTTTCGAAACACGTCCGCGGACAGTGTTTGCAACAATTTGGCTCCCATCGCGCGTGGTGTAATCAGAAGGCATTGTGCCGCGCCCCCGCCCCTGGGATAGCATCAAACAATTCAATTATATCCACAAATGGCCCGAAATGATCGCGCGCCGTTACTTACACTCGCCTGGGCGGAATGGATGGCATTTGAGAAGCAAATGCTTCCGATGCGGTGTAACTAAAGATTTTGTAGAAAGTTATCAATCTGTTAAATAACGAGAGAATGGAGTGGAATAGTTTTTTTTTTCAATGTAGATTTGAAGAATACTTATTGAAAGCCTTTTAAGCTTTACCACTGGTTCGGGAAAAACCTTTCCTCTGTCCTGAAATGGAACAGCAAGAAACATAGCGGGACTTTTTTTAAACATTAATTTACAATAGAATATTTTATAAAATGAATTATGAAAACATTTAGAAACAGCATGGGCAATTATTTACAAGAACTATTAACTATTGATAATAACAATCATGTACTCTTTAAAGTGGCAATGGGCTGGCCATACAGCTCGAAGAACCGACAACCGATAGGGTAAAAGGGTTCCCGAGTGGCAGCCTCGTACCGTTAGGCAAAGTGTGGGGTGACCGTCAACTAGATGGAGTGACGACCTGGTAAGACACGTAGGAGGTCGATAGATGCAGGGGGCTCAGGACCGTACTTTGTGGCATTTCTTGAGGGACTGTATTGATGATGATGATGTACTCCTTAGTAGTATAATAAACATTATAAAAACAATTTATGCTTAATGAAATTTTTTAAATTTTTTGATTAATAGGTCCTGCATATTTTTGGAACATTATTGTGAATGCTTTTTTTCAAGCGCATAATTTACAATATAATAAATAAATAATCCAATTGTTATGAAAATATTTAGAAACAGCATGGCAGCGATCACCTCATTCCCAGGAGGTATTATCAATCATATACTCTTTAGTAGTATAATAACCCTTACTAGACAATTTTTTCTTAATAAATAATTTAAACCTTTTGATAGACAAGGTCTGCATATTTTCTGGGACTTTGTTGTAAAAGCGTATACATTGCCCCATGAATGAATTACTAACTCTTTCATCATCATCGTCATCATTACAGCCCTTCACAAGTCCACTGCTGAACATAGGCCTCCCCCAAAGAATGCCACAAAGCACGGTCCTGAGCCACCTGCATCCATCGACTTCCTGCATGTCTTACCAGGTCGTCACTCCATCTCGTGGGGGGACGCCCTACACTTCGCCTACCGGTACGAGGCTGCCACTCGAGAACCTTTCTTCCCCATCGGTTGTCGGTTCTTCGAGCTATATGGCCGGCCCATTGCCACTTCAGCTTACTAATCCGTTGGGCTATGTCGGTTACTCTGGTTCTACTGCGGATATCCTCATTCCTAAGTTTATCACGCAGAGAAACTCCGAGCTTAGCCCTCTCCATAGCTCGCTGAGCGACCTTGAGCTTCCTCATCCGGCCAGCAGTGAAGGACCACGTCTCAGTTCCGTATGTCATCACTGGCAACACGCACTGGGTGTACAGTCTCGTTTTCAAGGTTTGAGGTATACCTGACGAGGGGATGTGCCGTAATTTCCCGAACGCTGCCCAACCGAGTTGAATCCGTCGATTGACCTCTAGGTACTAACTCTTTGGTGTCGATTAACTGGTTTTAGACGGCTTCGTGGCGCAATGGCTTAGCAATGAGTTGCCGCGCTAAGGGCCGCGGATTCGTATCCCGCACGTAACCAGTATTTGTATGACCTACAAATAATTGTTCCAGGTCTGGAAGTGTATCCTTGTAAACTGCCCCCACGGTACAGGAGACAATCCTAGTGTAGGTGTAACGTTTTTTTTTTTAAAAAACGTCATTATAAATTTGTTTATAAATATTTGAGGCGTGTTAGCTCAGGGGCTAAGTGCACGTCGTAAATTTCACAGTGTGCGAGCGATACGGGTTCAATTCGATTTTGTTTTTGATTTTACCATGTGCTCGACTATTAGACTGTTAACGATTGAAGATAAGCTTACCTGTCTTCACTTGATTCTTTAGAGTGATTTTGCAGTCCTCCAAGAGCTGCTTAAGTGGTAAGGGTTCCTCCGGCAGGTGGAGATCTAGCGCCTTCTGCATTTCCTCCGGCATCTTGAAGTCTAGGATCTGCGAGGATTATAAAATAATATGTCGATAAAATGTCATATACTTAAAAAAATCTGTCAAATAATAGAATCAGGCGTTACTTTGCAAAAATTCATTCTATTAAAGATGTTAAAAAAATTTTTAGTTAAGATCTACATAATAAAAATATATGACAAAATATATGACAGAGTATTTCACCTAAAGATAACGGTTACTTACTATTTTTTTTATAGGGTAGGGTGACAAACGAGCACACAGTTCACCTGATGGTAAGTGGTTACTGTGGCCCATAGACATCTACATTTATCCTCGTATGCGAATCAAAATGCAGATGCGTTGTCACCCGAGAGGACTAAGATGGAATGCCTCTGTTCCAGTAAAAAGGGTCTCCGGTTCTCTAGACTCACCATACGAAACACAGCAGTGTTAAGCTGCTATTTTACGCTGGTATTCTGTGAGAGCATGTTCCTTCCCTGATCGAGCCGACCCATTCATGCTACAACTATACTACTAATATAGCTGCAGCATGGCTCTACCACGTATAAGATAGATAGATACTACTTACTACACTAACTTAATTTATATTCCCGACGTTTCGAGCACTTTAGAGCACCCATGGCCCTTGGGGGGGCGGACTGAGGTGTTCGACGTCCAATTGTATAATAATAGTTAACCACGGCTACCTCCAGATTAAAATTATTAATTTTTGTTTCTAGCACGTCACCTCTAGCAAGTTTTGCACGACAACAAGCTTCGGTTTCGCGCTTACGTCACAGCGAACGAGTGAGCCGGCCCCAGTCGAGTACCTGCTGTACTGCCATATGTCAGAGGTGTCACTAACAATATTGGCGACATCTTGAAGCATGCTTCCATTAAAACCTACTTCAGGCCGCCGAAGGAGATTAATCTGATTTTACCATAAATCAAGTGTTATGTCCCTATGCAAAATGCAGGAGTGTATATAAGCTTGCATGTGAATGTAGTCTCTCTTACATAGGACAAACTAAAATACCAATTAAAACCCGCGGTAAATAACACATAGCTGATGTGAAGAATCGACGCTCCGGGAAGTCTGCAGTCTGTGAACACGTACAGGATCGCCCCCGTCACTATATTAGATTCAAATACACCACAAATCCTCGCTAAAGAACACCGATTCCTTCCAAGGATGATTCGCGAGGCTATTGAAATAAAAAAAAACATCCTAATTTCAATAGAGAACATGCTACTCTGTCTCTACCAGGGATCATTAGTAAAATTAAATCCCAACCCTAGCATACAGCTGCCAAACTTAAAGATGTTATAAGTTCATACTACATAGATCGGAACAAAAATAATAATTTTAATCTGGAGGAAGCCATGGTTAACTGTGACATTGGGACGTCGAACATCTCAGTTTCCCCCGTTCACCATGGGTGCTGTAAAGTGCTCGAAACGTAAATATGTAGTATTCGTATTAATAAGAAATCATTAAAAGGTGATCCTGTTACTTCGAAAATCGAAGTTCTAAAGACCGAAAAATGGAAAAGATTCATCCGAAAATACCGAAACCAGTACTCCTCAGATGCGAAGAGTAGCATCATTAAGAGTTCAAAAATCTTGGCTCATCAAGCCTTGATTCTATACGTACCTATTTTTGCTACCCACCTTTTCATTCCGATCATTGACTTGTTGAACGTAATCCAGCAGTACGTCGACGACACGTGCAAGGAACTCGCGAGTTTGCGCGTTGGCATCCTCACGATATGGCTGTATAGCTAAAACAATACAATAAAAAAATTAATCATTTCCGAAACGCAAAATAGCAGTCGTAGCGTTTCGTAGCACCACGTAGCACTGCTACGTAATTGCCACGACAGTAACGCTCACTTGTACTTTTATATGATAGAGCTTACTCTACAGCTATATTTTGAATGCAGCACGCATGGGTCGGCTCAACCGGGGAAGGACTACGCTCTCAAAGTATACCAGCGTTAATTAACAACACAATGCTGCTGTGTTTCGTGAAATGAGAAAGTTGAACGGGAGGCCCTTTTTGTCGATAGCATTTCGAATCTTAAAAATTGCCCAAAATACAACTGGGTAGATTTAAGTGTTTTTGGGTTTTTTTAATAAAATTGAAGTGACAATTTTACTGACGACTTTTCGTCAGGTATACATCAAAACCTGAAAACAAGGTTATACAATCAGTGCGTGTTGCCAGTGATAACTTATGGATCTGAGACGTGGTCTTTTAGCGCTGGCCGTATGAGGATGCTCAAGGTCGCTCAGCGAGCTATGGAGAGGGCTATGCTTGGGGTTTCTCTGCGTGATAGATTTAGAAATTAGGATATCCACAATAGAACCAGAGTAACCGACATAGCCCAAAGGATTAGTAAGCTGAAGTGGCAATGGGTCGGCCATATAGCTCGAAGATCCGACAACCGATGGGGAAGAAAGGTTCTCGAGTGGCAGCCTCGTACCGGTAGGCGAAATGTAAGGTGACCCCCTACTAGATGGAGACCTGGTAAGACATACAGGAAGTCGAAGGATGCAGGTGGCTCAGGACCGTGCTTTTGTAGCATTAGTTGGGGGAGGCCTATGTTCAGCAGTGGACTTATGAAGGGATGTAATGATGATGATGATGATCATCTTAGAATTCATCTGTTGTTAAGTGGCTACATTAGCACAAAGACATAAGCAGGTAACTTCAAATAAAGAAAGCTACAGATGCGTTGGTGCCGCCGAAGACTAACTGTTATTATAATGGCTGTCTATAAACTTCTGACCGGAACACAGGCTAGCACTTGGCGGCAGAAATAGGGAAAAGGGTAGTACCTACCCAAACGGATTCCTATACGCTAGCTTATTCTTTCGATCAATAGTTTGGTACCCTTCAATCCATTACAGCCTATAAAAGTCCCCTACTGAACATAGGCCTTCTCCATAAGTGGCCTATTTGGGGGGATTTGTGACTGTTACTTGTAAAAAGAAATTTTAAACAATACATAAAGCGGATATATGCTGAATCGGATATTATATTAAAACGGCTCCGTGGGCGCAGTGGCTTAGCAATGAGTAGTTGCACTGGGGGCCGCGGGTTTGAATCCCGCAAGGAACAAGTATTTGTATGGCCTACAAATAATTGTTCCGGGTCTGGATGGTTGTCCTCGTGCAATTTATGTTTGTAAACTGCCTCCAAATTACAGGTGAAAATCCTAGTGTGGGGGTAACATTTAAAAAAAAATTAAAAAATGTCGTTAGTATTCTAATTTAAAAAAAAAACAAGTTAATCTGTTCTATATTATTAAGTACTAGAAAAAAACGTAAGATCTAACTCTATTGTTATCATTTCGCCTTTGTTCATTGTACTTCGTTCGTGAGCATTTTGTTCTAAATAAGAACTTGCAATAACTTTAGCCCTCGGCAGCTGACGCTCAGTCTAAAGACCTTGATTAAAAAGTCACTGCTTTCAATATCCGCCCCAGCGATGTCCAAGTATTTGAGACGGTAGGGTGACTATGCGTTTAGAACACAAAATATATTTGTGTACATGGACATAGAGATATGATTAGAGCATTTGAAAGTTAACTCCAAATAGAGGTCGAAGCGTCTGCGAAAATATTTGATTTATAAGAAGTAGATTTGTTTCAATAATTTCATGTGTTAATTTTACCAACAATTCCTGCCACTTCCTTCATAACATCAGTCACTCTCGGTAAGTCATTTATATATAATAAAAATAATATGGGACCTAGAACGCTACCCTGTGGTATTCCAAACTTATTTATTTTATAATTAGAACGATCGTATGTAGTTGTATTTCTTTCGCTTATCTATTTATTTTTACGCAAAGTCTAAACTATTCACATTTCTTACGTAATAAATGAACTTCACATTGTATGTCCAGTTTTTTTTGGAGTTAAACATGCTTTAGTTACCGATGCGTATTTTGTATTTTGACCGTTAATAATTAACAGAATAGAGAATACCTACGAAATTATGTTTGCGTTTTTTTTCTCAGGTCAGAAAAATATTTTGAATTGATACTAGAATTAGGCAAGGCAACTGACAAATGACATTTTCAACTGACATTTCTATATTTAATGTAAGTTGTTTTTGTCAAAACTCTTGCTAATTTGTTGACTCTACAATTTTACTCCAGAACTGCGTCATATTGCAATAAGTACATCCCTACACAGATGTCTTTGATTTGTACTCCGGATGAACGGAGGGGAAACGTGCACACGTTTTCGAAATAGTTCCCCGCGAATACAAATCTTATAACTTATAATAAAGAGGTCATTGTCATTTTTCCATAACATTAACAAATAATTCAGTTTTTCCGTACTTTATAGGATTATGTACTTTAATACAAATTATTACAAGTTATTTTATAGTATTTATGTATTTTATACAGTACATTGTTAAAATTATAGTAATAATATTATAATAATGTCATGGAGACCGTATATCAGTCACGGCGCCCAGTCTAAAAGAAGTCCAACCATTTGCGCAGGACAGAATGACGGTGCACGAGTGTGAGTGTAAGCACATATGCACTGTTTATGCCCAAAATTTTGAACGCCGTCCAATCGAGTTCGAGCTGGCGCGTCACCCGATGGTATGTAGGTGAAAAAAACGCCGCCAGGTGGGGCAGCCGTGTGCGGCTTGCAGTGGCTCGACGCGTGGGCGAGGAGATGAGTAGCTCGCTGGCCGCGATGCGAGAAATTCGCGTATCTCGGTTATCGCGGCCGAAGTTCAAGCGACCGGTAGGGTCCAGATGGTTAGATTTAGTGCGTGTTACTTCGCTCCATGGATATGTGAATTTTGCAATATTTAACTTGTTCGGGTGAGGCGGAATTTCGCACACGCGAGCCGAGTAGATATAAGGTCTAGGATTCGAACCGCGCATTCCTTGTTCGAGAGCGTCTCCCGGTTGATTGTCTGGAAATCATTATAATTGTGCCGTCGCGTTAAGTGCCCTTTTTGTGTGTTGGCTGGTTTGTTAGTTTTACATGTCAACGAGGCGTATTTTGAATTATTTTCGCGGCGTGGTGTTTTGGTGTCAAATGAAGGAACTTAGTTGTGTTTAACGCTGAACCATATGACTCATTAAGAGATCGCGTTAGTTCCCTATTTATAATTTTGTGATAAGTGAATCCGGGACATTGAATGTTGAATTTTGAACTACTATCCTTACTGTGTCGGGTATCACGTGTTCGATTCTACGATGAATGTGGAATTAGGCGAGTTTAAGTTAGTTAAATGTACAATGAAGCTAATAGACTGAAATAGTGACAATGAGGAAAGAAATGGTCCAGCGGTGGAGCCTGCTGGAGCGATGCAGCATTATGGGGCAGCCTGGAACTCGGCCGCTGCTGGTCGCCTAAGCTGGTCCAGGTCTCAGACATTTACACATCACTGAACACTACTTGCCATTCACCTTACACCCACTTATGGCCTGACCGAGCCTTGGTGCGATCTTAGAGTCGGAAACAGGTAAGTACTATATTTTCCTAGCATTCTCCCACATAGTTTAGTATGATAGGAATTCTTCCATGTGGCTATTTGGGCCCTACCCGTGTCTGCCCGTCGAGCAGGCTGCTATGGGCCCCAGCCTGGGTACGGGCCGTAACATGCACTGTTAATCTCTCACTCTCATAGTCCAATGAGACGGCAATCGGACACGATAGGAGAGATTACAAACTGGCGAGAGAGACCTACAGCTTTACGTGCTTTCTAAGGTACATATGTGAAACAGCGCTCTTCCTAACTTCAGTCTGCTATTGGGAATTCCTTTACAGAAAACTCAATAACTGATTTTGGCCTGATCCGGGATTTGAAGGCAGGATCTCGTGATAAGTAGTCGCGTTTACGACCACCAACGAGGCAGTCAAAAGGAAATCAAAAGATTATAGTATTGTATGGTAATCAGTCATCACTTTTTTTTTTTGTTGAAACTTGTTCTTATATGTAAAGATATTTATTCCTCTGTTACAGCAGAGTGCTTTATTTATCCTTTTATAATATTGAATGTTCTATTTATATTTCATATTTTATAATTTTTGCATACAAATTATATTTTATATCACATATCACAACAAAGAAAACTAGCCCATTGTTTCGACTTCATACGCTTTTAGTTCCTTTTTATTTTTAATCTAGTAAGTAATTAATGTATGTATATGTATTTATTATCTTCATTTAATATTAATATTATAAAATTTATTATGAGACTGCACACTGAAATCGCTTCTCTTTGAATCTGACCAGTATCGGGCCTGCTGGAAGAAGTTTAAATATGAAATGAACAGTGTCTTTGTACGACATATCTTTTTAATTTTCATTGTAACATTACTTTGTGAGTACATAAGTTGGTAAAATAAATAAATAAATGAATAATTTAAAATCTTCATTGTTCAACTGTTAAATTATTTGGAAAATGGTTTTACAGACGCACGACGCAATAACAATCAATATTTAAAATACTTACTTCGATCCCGAATACATAAACCATTGATCTTAAATAAAGCAATTCTTCTATGGTATCGTTCGGATTTTTTCTAATATAAGGATAACAAACAGACATACAGTTAAACTGATGGTAAGTCGATGGTATTGCCGATAACACCTACCTATCTAACATATAAATAAAGTTGATGTGTCTGTCTGTAATATTGAAACAGCTGCCTTATATTGAGCTGAAGGGGTTATTTGTTAAGTCATAAATAACCATTTATTAAATGTTTGTCTGTCTGTCTGTCTGTTTGGGCTA